AAAAAATGATTTTGCAAATGACAGATATTACAATGCACAATATTTAAGACAATTTTATAATAATAATAGTTTATTTTGTAGGTAACCAATCAACATTTTATATACAATATTCACGCAACATTTTATTTTACTTAATAAAGGTTCCTAAGCTCTTATAAGCTAAAGCTCTTGTAATGGGGGTTAGAGTTCAATTAATTTACAAAAAAAATTAAGAATATAGGTTTATATTATTATGAATATTAAAAATTATATTCATATTCAATTTAGATAAGAAGTTATACAATAATAGAAGAAAGAATTAAATTGTATATATTTTAGTTGATACACTACCCCTCAAGTCCGGATTAAAGGGGGGGCCAACTGGGGCACGGTCCCGGGGCCCATTGATTTTGGGGGCCCATCTTTATCACCAAAATATATTTTTTTAACGCGTCCAATATAGTTTTCAAAAAAAAAAAAAAATATTTAAGTAGGTAGGTATAGTAGGTAATTTATTATTAATAATTATAAAATAAATATGTTCTCAATTTTATACCACCAAAAATTACTATAAATAATGAACTATGTTTACCAATAATTTTGTTTGTTTGTTTGTTTGTTTGTTTGTTCGTTTTTTTTTTTTTTTTTGAACATTTTAGATTACCTTTTTAACTATTTAAGTATATAAAAGGTAGTTATAAGAAAAAATTATTTAGCTGTTGTAAATTAGGTATTTTAGTTAAAAGTATATTAATGCATACTAGTGATGATCAAAACAAGACCAAGACCAAGACTTTCAAAATCTTGGGTTTGGTCTTTATTTTGCAGACTCAGTATTGGTCTTGGTCTTGAGCAAGACTCTTGCAAGACTCTTGCTATTTTCACAAAATATATAAAAAATAACTAAATACCTGTTATAGCTGTGTGTAGGTTTTTTGTTATGATCTCTAAGATGAAACTTATCGATTTTGGGAAAATTAAATAATTTTTCAGTAATTGTTAATTAGTATGAACAACTATGTTATTTTGTATTTTTTTTTCAATAATTCACCATTTCCTTGAACACTGGTCAAATTTCATAACAATACAAATAAATTCTTTTTATTTTCGTTATAAATTATTAGTTAATGAAATCTAGATACAGTAATGTGTTTTCGTTAAAAAAAAAAAATTGCAAGACCGCAAGAGTCTTGCAGTGATGGTCTTGTCTTGTTCTTGCAAGCCTTATCTTGGTCTTGGTCTTGCAGCAAGAGTCTTGCGAGACCGCAAGACCAAGACCAATTTTGATCGTCACTAATGCATACTTTAGAAGATCATAGTTAATAACCTAGCTAACAAAAATTGATCATTTGACTGTCAAAATGTTTAGAAAAAAAGCTTTAGCGGAATCCATAAAAAAACATAGTGGTTACTATTTGAAAAAATAAAGTCGATTTTATTATTTTTACAACTGCGTGTTTAAAAATGTTGAATATGCTATCAAATAAATTGCCTGTTAAAAATAAAGAAACGATTGTCTTTTTTTGTTTTAACGAAATTCCATATCATCGATCCATACCTAATTGTTAAAAAAAAACAGCATACAATGACATAAGATACACTCTTTATATTTTAGATTCTGAGTGAAACGATGAATGTATTGATTTTACAATGATGTGTGTTTTTTTTTTAATTTTTAATTTTTTTTTGTGTCTGTCATCACGTTTTAGGACAGTAAAAGTGCTTGGATTTTCTTCATCAATAGCTTTTCTGATAGGAAAGTGAATCTAGTTGGTACTTTGGGGGGTCAAAAGTATAAATTTCCCAGTAGTTTTCACAAGCGCCGGGAAAAACAACATAAAAATTAAGGAAAAACGGGAATTTTTACGCAAAATTGGTTTTTCAAAAAATCGATTTTGGTTATTGGTGTAACTCTAAAACAAATGAACGTATATACATGAAATTTTCACCGGTTGTTTATATTTGCATTTTCTATACACGATAAAATTTTCAAAATATTTTGATTTATTTTGAACTGTTTAAGGACATTTTCATTTTTCATTTTTTTTTAGTTTTTTTTCTAGAAATATCAATAAAATTTTATTTGTTGGTTGCGAAAGCTTGAAAATTTAATAGAAGGCTCCTAATATGTTGTTTCAAAGGCAGATGAAAAATATGAAAAATCCTAAGTCACAATTTTTTCTTATAAGCATTTAAAGTTCAAAAATTGACAAAATATGGAAAAATCACGAAAATTAGCAAATTATTTTGAGTTAAGAATTCGTAAAAATTTTTCTTTTTAAATCTAAGATTTGAAAATGAAACACAAGATTCCTTATAAGATTATCTACCTTTATCAATAAAAAAATCTCTACCGGACAGTCAAGTTAAATTTTTATGAGCGTTTGAAATTCAAATTTTTACAACATTGGATATTCACTCGATTACTCATGTAGCGATTTCTTTATTTTGTTGCAATTCAAAAACAAACAACTGTAGATACATGAAAATTTCACTGAATGTTTAAATTAGCATTTTCTATACACCATACAATTTTGAAAATATTTTGACTCTTTTTGAGCTGTTTATGGACATTTACAGCTTTCATTTTTTTAGTTTTTTTTTCTATAAATATCAATAAAGTTTTATCTGTTGGGCCAAAAAATGTAAAAATTTAATACAAGGCTCCTGATATATTGTTACAATATCAGTTGAAAAATTTTAAAAATACATATGCACGATTTTTTTTTATAAGCATTTAAAGTTGGAATTTTGACAAAATTTATCAAAATCTCGAAAATTATCAATCGTTGGAATTAAAAAATTATAAAATGTTCAGTTTTTATAGCTAAGGATTGCAAATTTAAAACAAAGGTTCTCATAAATAATTCATACTGTAACCAAAAATCTAAAAAATATATAAACACACTTATTTTTTACAGACATTTTAATTTCAAATTTAGACAAAATTTCATATTTAAACCAAGAATTACGATTTTAGTTATTTTGTTGTGATTGAATAATATTATTCGTGGGTACTTAAAACTTCTAAAGTGTACTATTATATATCTATGATAGTATCACGGTTTTTGTTGATGTATAACGCGTTATAAGTATCTAATGGATATTGTGATATGATTAGTTTGGAATTTATTATAGGTACCTATTATAGGTCAATTTTTTGTTTAATACCATAGATATGTATATAATATGTCTTATACATAGACTGACATACCGTCACCGCTCAGAATCGTTTTTCTTATACAATGATATTATATCATTGAATTCAAATTTAATACCATCCATTATACAGTGACCCACTTGTAACCTACTGTACAGCAGAGCGACACCCACTTGCCTACCTTTTTTTATTTTTGTATAGTAAAAAATTATACAATAATATAATGTCGTTAATATGTAATGATACAATTATTTTGAAGTTAAAGTTGAAAGGGGGCCCACTAAGTGTATGGTGTCCCGGGGCCCAATTGATCCTTAATCCGGGCTTGCTACCCCTACGACTACCTACCTTCACAATAATTACCAAGTAATCAAATTCAAATTAAGGTGTTGAAATGAAAATGCATCTGATTTCAGGGGACACACTTGATTAATTTAACAGTTATCTTTAGGCTTTGGCAAATTTCCATACCTAAAAAAACTTGAGTGGGTTAACACCCAAAATCTTCACATCTTTTATACAGGTACCACTTACCTAACTTACTCATTAATATTTAATTAATATTTTTACCAACCCATATTATGTGAATATTGTACCTATACCCATTGTAAAATATAACTACCTACTTTATAGTTTATTGTAATTATTACTGCTTACTAAATAAGCTAGCACTTGTGTTGGAATCAATCTTTTTTGATTAGCTAATTAAATCATAATATACCATAAATATAACCATTATACTTAGGTTTAGGTACTATAATATTTTAATAGATTAACATCGGTGTCGAACACAGATTAAGAATTTGTCACACGTTCATTCACAAACTGAGCATTACATTTAAATTTTTCTGAATAGCGTTAAACAACTTTTTATACATAGGACCATAGTTAATTCTCTGTATGTGATTTAGTTGTCCTGAATGTAGAATATGACTTCCTAAATAAAATAAGTTATTATAAAATATACCATTCAATTTTCTTATAATTGGATAAGGTAACCAGGGCCGTATTTGGACAATTTCCGCCCCGGGGCAACATATTTCCGCTGCCCCTCCCCCCCACCCCCACCAAAAAAAAAAAACTATTTCTTAAAAAGTAAGGTGTAACTATTTTGTTGTATACAATTTTGGTACAAAGAAAATTGAACCAACTACATAAACATAATAATACATTAATATGCTACTGTCACTTATATAATATTGGCGAATTAAATGTATATACAATATACATTATAATATTAAATACATATTATGTGCGTAATTTATTATTGTAAAATTTATTATGAATAATATTATATTATGAACATTAAACAAAATTCCTTCTATTATAGTTAGGTATTTATTTATATAGGAAAACCAATGTCAATTAAAGAAAATAGTTTTAAGTAAATAATGTAGAGGAGAAGCGACGAATATGGAATAGGCATTTATTATGGAATAGTCAATTATTCACGAATGTACTAAGCGCTATCTGTCGTATATGATTGAAACTTGATCTTTAGTTATTAGTTTTATCAAACATATGGTACTGATATCACAGCACTGTTATCAAATGGAATAAATAACGTTTTTCGTTTTTCATAATAACGTAAATTTTACAAGGTATGTATATTTTTATTTATTTTACTTAGTTAATGTTTTAAATTATAAATCCTTTAGAGCGTCTGAATAGCTTATGAAATTTACTCTTAAACTTTACTACAGTGATTAATCTAACGTTAAAGCATCAAATTGTAATTATATTTTTGTATTGAATTCATGATGATGATAATATGGAATACTTGTTTGCTTTTAATATGGGATGCTATTCTATAACATAAAAACTTATATAGGTATTATTTATGAATTATTATTTTTTTAAGATGGCCAAATCAACTAGATGCAGAAAACAGTGGGATAAAAAAGCAATGGAATCTGCAATACAAGCTGTTCGCCATAAAGAAATGGGGTATTTAAAAGCAGCTAAACAGTTTAAAGTTCCTCGAACGACATTGCATCGTTTATGTAATAAGATGGATATGGAACCGCACAACGCTGCTGCAACTATATTGGGTAGAAAATCCACTCTTGGAGACACTTTAGAAAGTGAGTTACTTAAATATGCTTTATTAATGGAATCTAAGTATTATGGTTTAACAAGAAATGATTTAAAACAAATGGCTTATCAGCTTGCTGTACAAAATAAAATCAAGCATCCGTTTTCTGATGAATCAATGATGGCTGGTAGAGGTTGGTTAGATAGATTCTTAAGACGTCATAAACACACTTTATCCATTCGAAAACCATGTGGAACTTCATTTGCAAGAGCATTGGGATTTACTAAGGAAAAAGTCAATAAGTTTTTTGATATCCTAGAGGCAGAGTTTGAAAAACATAATTATCCACCTGATCGTGTGTACAACGTTGATGAGACTGGGTTGACTGTAGTGCAGAGTAAAGTTTCAGAAGTAATTGGTTTAAGAGGTAAACGTCAAATCTCTTCTTTAACTTCAGCTGAGAGAGGTAGTCTTATCACAGTAGTAGCAGCAATGAGTGCTGGGGGGACATTTATACCACCGTTGATGATATTTCCAAGGAAAAATATGAGTCAACAACTAATGAAGGGTGCTCCAGCTGGAGCAATTAGTGCTTGTCATCCTAGTGGATGGATTCAAAGTTATATTTTTGTTCAATGGTTTGATCACTTTATTGAAAAAACTAAACCTTCCGAGACTTCACCGGTTCTTTTAATATTAGATGGCCATTACAGTCACACTAGAAATTTGGAAATCATAGAAAAGGCTAGAGACAACTTTATTACTATAATTTGTTTACCACCACACACCACACACAAGTTGCAGCCACTTGACAAGACATTTATGGCTGCTTTAAAGACATATTATAGTGAACAAATACGTTTGTGGATTCGTCAAAACAATAGAAGATTGAGTCCTTTTGATGTCGCTGAGCTATTTGGTAAAGCATATCTTAAAGTTCAAACAGGGGAAATTGCAGTAAATGGTTTCCGAGCAACTGGGATTTATCCTATTAATAGAAGTATTTTTAGTGATGCAGATTACATAGCAGCTGAAATGGATGCATCTAAGAGAGGAGAAGTTACTCCAGCAGAACAAGAGTTTAATGAGTGTATACCAGAAAATATTCAAAATCATCAAGATGCACCACAGGTATCACCTGGACCTTCATTTGATATTCATAATCAAATAAATAGTCCTACTCAAAACCAATGTTCCTTTGAAATAGATCAAACGCCTGGAACATCAAATACAACAGAAAAAATAATATCTCCATTTAACATAGCACCAGTTCCTATATCAATACCTAGTACATCCAACAGAGGACGAAAAGCAGCAACAACATGTGTAATAACATCATCTCCCTACAAAAATGAATTGGAAAAAACAATTAAAAGTATTCCTAATAAAAAGTCAAAAAATATTGATAAACAGATTCCAAAGAAAAAGCAAGTTAAAAGAAAACTTACGTTTGTGAATAATTTAAATTCAATAACAAACCAAAACAAAACGGGTGACACTAGAGGTGATTATTTAAATGATGATAACTCTGATTTAGATGTTGAACCTGGTCACCTTGCACCAGATTCAGAAGACGCTTCATGTATTTTTTGTGACATGAGATTTTCAGATGACAAAAAAGGAGAACTCTGGATACAATGTTTAACTTGCCAATTATGGGCACATACTGAATGTGCTGGACCTGAAAATGACCACTATATCTGTGATTTTTGCAAATAAGACTAATTAAAAAAACCTATTTTGTAATTTGATTGACTGATTTGATATTAAGTTAAGTTTATATGCATTTTTTTTTTGTTATAATTAATTAAAACTATTTTATATGATTCAATTAAGTTTAAAAGAAGTTTTTAAGTACTGTTTATGGTTTGTTACTTGTTATTTTCTTAATTAGAAGGTGAAATTTTCATTTTTATTTACAGAGCTATATGCTTACATTTGAATTGATTTTTTTAAGTTTAAAAAAAGTTTTTAAATACTATTTGTTATATTTTATTTTAATTATAAGTTGAAATTTTCTTTTTTTTATATACAGAGCCATACATAGCTAAATACATAGATACATTTGTATTAATTTTATAAAGATTAAAAGAAGTTTTTAAATACCTACTGGCTCCTTTTTATTTTAAGATAATTGTTTTCTGCCTAAGACATTTGTCTGGTTCATTTTTTAATTATATTATAAGACCAAACTGTAAGATTTATAATAAACATACATCAGAACTTAAAATATTTTAATTTATTCCTATTAGATAATTAGTGCTGGCATTATGGAATACCCTATTCCATATTACTCACACTTTTTTTGAAATGGTAAAATTCAAAATTTTTACATTATCATGAATATATTAAAATTGGTAATTTGATGTGTTCCAACAACTAAAATAATGTATTCTAAAATAGTTTTAAATTAATATGATGTTAATGGTTTTCCAAAAACATCAAAATTGTAATCAGTGTAGATCAAAAACAAAATGGTATTCCATATTCGTTGCACCTCCTATATCATTTATTATTTGTATTTGGTATTAATAATTATAATCTAAATAGGTATATAAATAACAATATATAAAAATATATAAAAAAAATATATAACTTTCTCCTGGACTGAAGGTTTGAGAATAAAATTAAGGTGGGTAAGTGGATGTCGCTCTGCTGTACTGTAGGTCACAAGTGGGGCACTGCATAATGGATGGTATTAAATTTGAATTCAATGATACAATATCATTGTATAAGAAAAACGATTCTGAGCGAAGACGGTATGTCAGTCTAGGTTTAAGACATATTATATACATATCTATGGTATTAAAAAAAAATTGACCTATAATAAATTCCAAATTAATCATATCACAATACACATTAGGTACTTATAACACGTTATACATCAATAAAAAACCCTGATACTATCATAGATATATAATATAGTGTACTTTAGAAGTTTCAAGTACCCACGAATAGTATTATACACTCACAACAAAATAACTAAAATAGGTATGCTAGGTTTTTTAATATGTAATTTCGTCCCAAATTTGAACTTAAAATGTCTGTAAAAAATAACTGTGCTAATATATTTTTTAGATTTTTTGGCTACAGTATGAACTATTTATGAGAATCTTTTTTTTAAATTTTCAATCCTTAGCTATAAAAACTGAACATTTTATAATTTATTAATTACGATGATTGATAATTTTCGAGATTTTGATAAATTTTGTCAAAATGCGATCTTTAAATGCATATAAAAAAAATGGTGCCTATGTATTTTTAATATTTTTCAATTGCTATTGTAACAATATATCAGGAGCCTTGTATTAATTTTTCACACTTTTTGGCCCAACAGATAAAACTTTATTAATATTTATAGAAAAAAAAAACCAAAAAAATTGAAAACTGAAAATGTCCGTAAACGGCTCAAAAAGAGTCAAAATATTTTCAAAATTGTATGGTGTATAGGAAATGCTAATATAAACATTCAGTGAAATTTTCATGTATCTATAGTTATTCGTTTATGAATAACAACAAAATAAGGAAATCGCTACATGAGAAATCGAGTGAACATCCAATGTTGTAAAAATTTGAATTTCAAACGCTCATAAAAATTTAATTTTACTGTCCGGTAGAGATTTTTTATTGATAAAGGTAGACAAACTTATAAGTAATCTTGTATTACATTTTCAAATCTTAGATTTAAAAAGAAAAATTTTTTACGAATTCTTAACTCAAAATAATTTGAAAATTTTCGTGATTTTCGTGACTTTTGCATTCAACATTTCCTAACGATGAGTCGACGCCGTAAAAAAACAGTATACTGCTTGTAACAGTTCAAAAAAATGACAGGCTTCTTCACAACAATTTGCTGCACAACTACCAACCAAATTTAGAGAGTGTGCAGCACACGGAGAATACTCAGCTAGTGGATTAACCTCCTTGATTCTTGCCGTTCTTACGTTCAAAAACCCAATCTATTTATAAATAGTATGTTAATAATATAATTTATATTATTTTCCGACAAACTGATGTTAACAATATTATACCTTTTCGATCTATAATAATGTTTTTAATAGAAGGTTAAAATTATGTAAATTTATTTATTTTTTCTCAACAGTTAATATACAATAATAATTTATCAACATAAATTTGCCGCCCCGGGCAACAAGGTACACTTGCCCCCCCTCAAATACGGCCCTGAAGGTAACAACTTTGAACTCAGATTTATTTTAATAAACAAATGGTAATTAGTACCTACTGATTACTATACAGCTACCTTTTTACCTAATAATATAATGTAGAGTAATTTCAATATAAACTTCATAATTTCATAATGAAGTCATAAAATATTGATTTAAAGAATGTACAAACAATGAAAAAAAAACATCAAAAATGTTTAGTGACCTCTGCCGTGGGATTTTGTATTTGATTTTCCTAAATAATTAATGTTCTTTTTTGAAGTTGCCTATGCACCTAATCCTATATTTAAAATTGTATAATGAGTAATGACTATTATCATAAGCTATATAGGAACTTGTAACACCTTTAAAGTTTAAAGCAGTATCAGTTTGGTCAAAATATGTTTTAATTTTGTTAGTGTATTTTTTTTTTATTTAAGAAGTCATGTTTTACATTCAGGACGACTAAATGACATTTAGAGCGCAACTGATGTGTCATGTGATACCTACGATTGTTTTCCAGTTTTTTCACATAAAAGCTGGTACTGTGCATAGATAGAAATTTAACATGTGGGGGGCTCATCATAGTAAAATTTAAATATTTTCTATGATCGTGTAATCCCTACCTACCTCTGACTATGAAGGTAGGCATGTATGTATTATTTTTTACCTACTTTAATATTTGTGTAGGTACATACAACTTTTATTACATTTTAAAAGGTTGAATTAGTTTGATTTGGTTGTACCAAATTATTAAATAAACATTAATAAGTTTTCCCCTTTAATAAATGTGTAAAAATATATGCAAACCACTAGTGTTATAGTACCTATACGGCTATACAAATATAACATTTAAAAATAATAACAGGGCTTTTCAATCATCAATGAACTAGACTACCAAACTACGTGAGTGACTGAGTCTTCAGTATCTTGTACCTACCTAATTTAAATAATTATATGTGCCTAGGTAGTGCAAATATTGTTAACCTAACCAGAAATAACTTTATTAAAATATTAATATTTTTATATTTATTTTTAATAGTAGGTAGAGTTAAAAATAATAGGTAGGAAGCAATAACATTTTTAGTGTATAATAAGCTAAGAATATAAGATTATCAACTACTACTAATAATAAATAATAATTAATAATATTGGTAGTACTTAATATAGCACCACTGTAATATTGTATAGCTAGGAAATTGCAATAATTGGATATTGCCTAAATATTTCCACTTAATAAAGACACACGAGCAGGTCCCTTAATAAATTCAAGATTTTACCTTTCAACGGTTTACTTATTCGAGATTTGGCGTTCTAACGATTTTGCCATTCAATGGTTTGCATATTCAATATTTGGTCGGAATTATTTATTCAAGATTTTGCTATTCTTGCAAATATTGGTTCAAGATATCGACGATCAATGTATTAAATTTCAAGATTTCCCTATGTTCCCCATTCAGTAGGTTTAATACATTTTTCCAAAAACATTTTATTTGAAAATGTCATTATAATAATTTATATAGGCGTACTTTAAAGTTTCAAGTGTAAGGAGTAAGGAGCTGCGTCGGATAAGATAATGGAAAGATGAATTCTAATCACGAAAATTATAAGGAGTTGTGAGTTGTATAATATAGGTACTTACCTATTTACTATAATATAGTAAATAGGTACATAAGATTGCATTACTATTTTCTTTTTTAAATTGGTTGAAATTTTGAATAATTTTCCAAAATATGCAAAATAAGCACAATAACGTAAAAATAAGTACTTTCCTGCAAAATGTATGAAATACCTATGCAAAAATATACACATTCAAATTTCAGATTTGGTATCACAACATTGAGAAATTAATTTATTTCGCTCTCTGCTACATTTTACAATAAATAAAAAAAGTATGCAAATGCTATAAGTCCCGAACACTGATGATAACAATATTCCTTTTCGAGACATAATAATCTTTTTAATAGAAGGCTAAAATTATGTAAATTTATTTATTTATTCTCAACAATTAATATATAATAATTCCGCCCCCTAAATGAACCAAACAAATTGCCACCCCGGGCAACAAGGTACACATTGCCCCCCAAATACGACCCTGCATGAAACTTAACATAAAAATTATTTAGTATATAAAAGCTGCATGGATTAAGACTTAGCTATATTAAGCTTGGCATTTCTAGGTACTGTCACATTATTATTTTTATTCGTATTATCAATCAAAGTCGATCCTACGTAATCGCTAGTATCTACGAATTTAAAAATAATTTTCAACGAAATAAGAAATCGGCGTTTGCCACAAACCTTATCGCGTAATGTTGAACTATTATGTATATATATATGTGTGTCAGTGTGTGTGTGTATCTAACATAATAATAAAATTTGAAAATAAAACATTATCCATTTATAATTGTTGTAGACAGAAGAGTTAAAGTCAGGATCAAATGAAAAAGAATCAAAAAGATCAAGAATGAGTTCGATTCAGTAGATATATTAATTCATAAGCAATTGGAGAAATATGGAGAAAAACATTTGAGAGAAACACAAACAAAATAAAGTTACAAGCCATAACCCCCCCCCCTATATTATTGTAATCAAATAACTCAAATTGTTAATTCACTTTTCCACAAGAAATGTTACTAAAGTTCAAGGACGTGCTCGCGGGTGGGTTCAAACCCCTCCCACGTACACTTTACAAATATAATATATTATGTACTTACATATTATAATAATTTATTGGGAAAAAATCTAGTTTAGCATCCACGTGATTTTTTCAATTTTTTTTTTTTGTCTATTAATGTAGTTAAGCATGCTGAAAAAGATGAGAAAGTCTGAATTTGGAGGTCAGACTTAGTTTTAAAGTTATAGCTCATTGAAATTTTTGGTATTCTCATATATACAACCAGCGTGGTCCCTAGCTCGATGCGCTAGCTCCACGGACAATTAACATCGAAAACATCCCTCGAATGGTCATATAAAACCACTAAGGGCGACTGGCGAGTGTCAGAATTATTTTTGTTAAATAATTTTAGATTTCTAGCGGAGCGATGAATGTATTGGTTTTACAATGTTTGTTTTTTTTTATATTTTTTTTGTGTCTGTGAACACGATTAGTAGTCAAAATATTGCTTTGATTTTCAATTTAAGTATCTTGTTCGATTGGAAAGTGAATCTAGTTGGTACTTTTGGGAGGTCAAAACTCAAAATGTAAAATTTACAATTAGTTTTCGAAAGGGCCGTGAAAAACAAATGAAAAATTAAAGAAAAAAACAGATTTTGATTTTTGGTGTACCTAACTATAAAATAAATAACAGTAGATAAGAGAGTAACCGAAAAATCTAAAAAGTATATAAACACATTTTACAGAAATTTTAAATTCAAATTTGGACGAAATTACATATTAAAACTAAGAATAACGATTTTATTTTTTTGTTATAATTTAAAAATATTATTTGTTGGTATATCAAGCTTTTAGAGTACCTACCTATATTGTTATATTTTATACACACGCAATGGCATTTTAAAATTTATTTTTTTTGGGAAAAATGAATTTAACCAACTATAGTAAATATTAATTTATTCCTAATACTAAAATTAATTACTTTATTCACAATATAATACCACCAAAAATACACTTAGTATGGTATTATGGCCTATGGGGCATGGGCTGACTCACCGTCTCCGCTCGCAGAATCGTTTTTCTTATGCAATGATTTTAGGTACCTATATCATTATTGGATTCAAATTGAACACAATCCATTACAGTGAATCACTTGTAACCTACTGCTGTACAGCAGAGCGACATCCACTTGACCACCTTTTCAAAACGTTTATTTACCTGGGTTTTAAAAAAAAAAAAATTCTAATTTGTTATACCTAAGTGCTGTAAACAATAAGCGTTGTACGTATGCGCAAAACACCGAAAATCGTGAACTTCGTAAGGCTATACCATAAAAACTATGATTTGTGGCAATTCATTTTTGCACCATCGTTCTTAACTGTTTATAATACATAGGTAGGTGTGAAGTGTCTGACAAAAAAAATTAAAAATTCTCATGGGTTCTGAACTAGATTTATAACGATAAACTAACCAAAAATTCTGTTCGAAAAAAAATGTTCAAACCAACCCCTCCCATCCAAAATTACTGAGCACGCCTCTGCTGAAGTTGAAAATCAAAGCATTATTTCAACTACACATACAGAAAATAAAAAAACGCATCATTGTAAAATCTAAAATAATGTCAAACTGAGAAAATAACTTTTCTGTTCCCCAGAAATCAGTAAATCAGAAACCATAAATTAAGTACTTATGAAGATATAAGGTACCTAATAGGTTTATAGGTATCTTAATTCGTTCAATAAATATTCGTAGTATACTGCAGTATTCAAGATACGCACACATTTTTTCCAGATTAATAATATTATTAAATAACGTTAAATCTTAATAGCCCTCATCAGTCGATCGTTCGTCAACCATCGTAATTGTTGTATTTTAGTCTAGTGTAGAAGGCGTAGAACGCATGTTGTATGACTTTAGTGCTTTCAAAGTAAAATAGTAAATCATAATTTTTCCACTATAATTTTACAATGGAAAAAGTTATTAGAGAGATTGGAGGTTCTAGAGGCGTAGGCCTTAAGTTTAAAGACGAAGATGGATACACGTACTGGAAAAATCGCCAATGTCGATTGCACTTTACAGTTCGTTGTGCATCCTGGAGAGCTGGGTAAATTTAATTACAATTAACTTTATGTTTTACTATACAAATAGGTACCAGCATTCAGTTGTCATTTATATTTAAATATTTCAATATTTAGAAGTCATAAATTCGATTTTAAAACTCATTGTCATCCTGGTGGGTAATTTAAATTTAAAATAAATATGTTATGCTGACCATTGATCTTGCTGTACCTATTTTAGATTCTGAGTGAAGCGATGAATATATTGATTTTACATAATGATGTGCAGGTTTTTATTTTTTTGTATTATTTGTGTCTGTGTACACAATTTATAAGTAGTCAAAATAATGCTACGATTTTCAACCACAGTATCTTGTTCGATGGGAATGTGAATCTAGTTGGGGCTTTGAGTAGGTCAACATTTAAGATTCCCAACCGTTTTCAAAATCAACGAGAAAAACAAACAAAAAATTAAGAAAAAACGGGAATTTTTACGCAAAATCGGTTCTCGACAAAATGTTGGTTTTTGGTGTAAATCTAAAACAAATTATCGTAGATACATTCAGTTTTTATTGATTGTTTATATTAGCATTTTCTATAGATCATACATTTTTCAAAATATTTCGACTTGTTTTGAGCTGTTTACAGACAGTTTAAAATTTAAATTTGTTTAGTTTTTTTTTTCTACAAATATCAATACAATTTCATTTGTTGGGCCAAAAAGCATGAAAATAATATAAGGCTCCTGATAATATATTATTACAATAGCAGTTAAAAAATATTAAAAATAAATTAAAAATAAAAGCACAATTTTTTTTCATAAGCATTTAAGTTCAAATTTTGACAACATTAATCAAATTTAAAAATTATAAAATGTTCAACTTTCATAGCTAGGGATTGAATTTTTAAAACTAGGAACCAAGTAAATAGTTTATAATTTATCAACTACTTTGTTATTTAACAATAATATCATTAAATATACTAAAGTACCTATATAATAGGTAACATAGGCCGACTGACCGTCTTCGCTCAAAGTCGTTTTTCTTATAGAATGATATAATATCATTGAATTCAAATTTAATACAATCCATTAGTGACTCACTTGTAACCTACTGTATAGCAGAGCAACACCCACTTACCAACCTTTTAAAAATATATTCTAAATGGCCGTGGCGCCGTGCTATTAAGTAGGTAATAGTCATTATTAGTACCTGTATGTTAATATTTTAAATATTATTTTTTTTTTAGTTGTCGTGCAAAAGGCAGAGTGTTAAACAATGACAAAACTAAGGTTATTCTTATTATATGCCATGAGACACATCCTGAAGATCAATTGGCACTGCATAATTTCAAAAATATCTGTAACCAACGGGCACAGACTGAAAATATACCTCTTCGGGTCATTTACAATGAAGTAAGTGTTACATTAGCATACCAATATTAAACAGCAAGGAGCTTCATTGGAAAGTATTAAGAATTAAGATATATTTTTAAAGGCTCTCTATTTTCATATACAAGTTTTTGGTCTCCCTTAAATGTATAGGTAGGTATGAAATGTTGATAATATTATGATGAAGCACTCTTTTTAATTTAAGATGATGTAAGCTCACTGTTTTTTTTCTATCTCTGGCCCACATGCAACATAAAGAAAACGCATTCACGTAAAATCATTTTTAATTTACATTATACATTTATACTATTATTAATTATATGCTTTGCCCGGGATCATTTTGTCAAAAGAAATGATTTATTATTAATTAAAAATACAGGTAACAACAGGTTGAGAAGAACCAAAAAGTTAAGACGACTAATTTTCTAATTTAATTTGAAAATGAGTGTAATTAAATATCTTTATAATTAATAAATATTTTTTTAATGGTATTATAGACATGCACTTCAGCAGAATTTATAAATGTTCACGTTGGTGCATTTGTGTCACATCGAAGGACGATGCGGAGGCATAGACGTCAGACCCAGCCAGTAAGTCCTAGGTCGATGACTGAGTTCCATGGTCAACTCAGTGGAGATTATACACACTTGACTAAACTTGATAATGCAACTTTGTATAATGGCCTAATCGGTAACACGCCACAGGAAGGAGTTATTTTACTATTTATTTTACCTGAAGTCATAAAGTAAATACAAAATATTGTTAATTTTAAATAAACAATAATACTAATAATATAATAAAATTGCAGCATACTTAGAACGGGTACGACATTTTTGTTTGATGGCACATTTGCAAGTGCACCATCATTTGGAAATGAGTGCCAACAGTTGTATGTAATAATGGGCATAACATTTAACACTGTAAGTTTAGTTTGCAAATATACAGGTACTAGGGACCTATTCAATAAGAAAATAGCTAAATTATTTAAATGTATTAAATATTTTTATCTTAGGGGTTTCCAATTGGGTTTGCATTAATGTCAAGGAAAACAGAATGTGCATACTCAGCACTGTTCAACAAAATCCTGACTTTAGTGCCGGAATGGAAACCACAAACCATTATCATTGATTTTGAAAGGGCAGCAATAGCGTCCATTAAATCAATATTTCCTAACACAGTAATACGAGGTTGTTGGTTTCATTCTTCGCAAGCTGTATGGAGAAAAGTTGGAAATATTGGTAAGCTATTATATTCACTGTATTTATCTGATGAGTATTCAAGTATCAGAGTATTGAGTATTCGGATGAGTACTCAGAAGTTATAATGTTGTTTTGAAAAGTTAAAACCACATCAATTTAAAACAGTGTTTTTGGTGTTTACAATTAAATGAATTTAAAAAAAAAAATTATATATTGATAGAAGATATTTGTAACAATACTAAATATACTTATATAAAATACTACATACAACTACAATATGTTAAGAAGACTCTTGATCAATGATTTTTGGTAGTAAAACATACTTAAACGTCTTTGGCTGTAACATAATGTATAAAATACTATAAATGTATACCTATGTTATGTTATAAAGTTGTGGGGCTTGGGAATTAATATCCCTACAATTTATATATAAGCGCAATCTTATTAGTTTATTTTTTTTCTTATTATTATAATTATTCTTTAAATTTACATGTCACACTTTTACAACTAAAAGTTATGTTTTTTGTATTGCTTATATTAAACATTAAAAATTAGTGAGTGTGGTTGATATAATGACTTATAATAAACAATATAGATTTTGAGATCAATCATTAACACTCACCATGTTTATTGTTTAAATATGAATATAGGATTGACAGAATTATGCACAGATAATAGAGCGGCGTATGATATTGTCCATTTGTTGATGACATTGCCTCTTCTGCCACAAAACTTAATCATGGAGGGTTTTGAAAGCATTAAACGTATGTACCGTGAAAATGAGCTGTTAAGTTTAGGCGACAATGGAGGACAATTTAATCAACTTTTTGATTATTATCGGTCGACATGGCTACAAGGTATGTTTAGTCTGTACATATAAAAAAATCTACAGTTATATATTTAATAACACTAACTAAATATTATATTATTTTGTATGAATAATAGGAGTTAATGCAGATATGTTATCGGTGAATGACACAGTTTGGCGCACCAATAATGTACTGGAAGTCAGTCATCAACACTTACTTTTGCATATGGGAAACAGACACCACCCAGAACCGTGGATATTTCTGAGTAATAATAATGATTTATCATTAAATTTAATTAATTATTTATAATACTACATAGGTACCTATACATAATATAAGAAAAAAAAAGGGTAAGGTCAGTGGTAGTAGAAAGGCATTTTTCTCGTCGGATATGATACTTTTGCAGGATAAGTCACTGTTAGTGTTAGATGTGGCAAATATTTCAATAATACGATAATATGCTACACTAATTTGTGATTTACAAATTAAATGGATTAAATTCCAAAATTGCACTAATTTTATGTTTTGTATAATATGAGCATAATATGTGGACATTCAATCTTTTGTTAGGTATATTACCTATACACTATAAATTAAAACAAGGAGCATGTCGAATTATAAAATAAAATATTCAATTGAATTGATAATTATCTATAAATCATTTTACAGAAGGACTAATTACATACTCAAGAGGTATACTAATAGACTATACTGCGGTAACTGATGGTGAACAAATAAGAGAGCCGCAACGGCAGGTATGGATAGACAACCAAAGGCGTCTAGATTTGGCAATGAGACTGCTAAATGAAGGGCGGTATTCTATATTGGAGTTTCTTGTCTGTTCACGACATGCAACAGCAAATTTTGGTGTCTTACGACCTCAACCACTTCAAATTCAACCAGTGAATGACCCACAACCTCAACCACTTCATATAGAACCTGCGATTAATGTACCACGTCCTCCATCTCCAATTTTGTTTGAGTTACCGCCTCATCCATCACGGGAAGAAATTCTTGCAAGATTATTGCCTGCGCGGATACGACAACCTGTTCCTGCAAATCGTAAGAAATTAATAATTTTAAATGTGTGTGATTGAAAAAATAATAATAAAAATAAATTTTCTTGTTTTAGTTTTTGATGTATCATCTGATTCCGATGATAATGATGAAAATGTTATAGCTGTTATACCACGGGCTAACCAAATTGAAAACGAAGACTTTAATAGTAATTATTAATAATTTAAACTAATTTCAGCTATTAATTGATAATTATAATCTTAATTCATATATTTTATTATATCTAACTATATTTTGTAATGTAACTGCAGATATAAAGCTATAATAACTTTTGATTGAAAACTAAATAAATAAAAATTAGTTCCCCTAATCTATAATTCAGCGCAAATGCCATATTTGTTGTTCACATTTTAATAAACGTGTGTAATAATTAAAGTAATAATAGTTTTCGTTGTTTTAGTTTTAGAAAACTCTGATTCAAACGATGAGGAAAATGTGATGGCTAGGTCACAGGCTATTAGACCACATACAAATTGGATCCATGGTGAAGATCTGACTAGTAATTATTTATAATTTAAATTAATCTTAACTATTGATTGATAATTATAATCTTTTAATCTTATAGTCACCCCAATAGTTGAGAGCCAGTGCTACATATGTATATTTTCGCCGCCAACAGTAATTGTTTTACCATGTATGCATCAAGGTCTATGTGAGCCTTGCTTCACAAGCTATTCTACAATGGCTCCATATAGCCGTCAACCCAGGCGCGTATCCAGAATTTTATTTCGGGAGGGGCTGAACAAAATGATCAACATAGTCACACAATAAAACAAAAAAGTGAGTAAGTGGATGTCGCTCTGCTGTACAGTAGGTTACAAGTGGGTCACTGTAATGGATGGTGTAAAATTTGAATTCAATGATATAATATCATTGTATAAGAAAAACGATTCTAAGCGAAAACGGTCAGTCAGCCTATGATATTACTATAAGTATATTTGATGATATTATTGTGAATAAAGTTATTTATATATTTACCTATTTACGTGGACCATTGTTTTAAATTTTCAATCCTTAACTATGAAAGTTGAACATTTTATAAATTTTTAATTACAAAATATTTAATACATTTTAAATTTGATAAATTTTGTTAAAATTCGAACTTTTAATGATTATAAGAAAAAATTGTGCCTATGTATTTTTAATATTTTTCAACTAATATTGTTACAATATATCAGGAGCCTTGAGTTAAATTTTCACGCTTTTTTACCCAACAAAAAATTTTTTTTTGATATTTATAGAAAAAAAACTAAGAAAAATTAAAACTGTCAATGTCCGTAAATAGCTCAAAAAGAGGCAAAATATTTTCAAATTTTTTTGGTGTATAAAAAATGAAAACATTCAGCAAAATTTTAAGTTTTGTGATTTTTCCGTATTTTGTCAAGATTCGAACTTTAAATGCTTATAAAAAAACTATGACTAAGGATTTTTAATATTTTTCAACTGCTATTGTAACAATAAAGCAGGAGCCTTGTATTAAATTTTCAAGCTTTTTTACCCAACAAATAAAGTTTTATTGACATTCATATTTTTTGGATTTTCTTGAAATTTCAGGGGGGGCTGCAGCCCACCCAGCCACCCCCATAAATACGCCCCTGCGTCAACCCTATTACAGATGTCCACTGTGCAGAGGACAAGTTGAAAGCTATTTAGCTATACAATAATAGTAATATAGTATGATTGAAAACAATTGCATAAATATAATAATAATATATAATAAATTATTTTATTGTTATTTATTTTATATTTACATATCCTGAAAATCAAAAATTAAAATATTAAGTTTTGTGTTATTTTAGGGTAGCCAGATAAATGCATAGGTACATAATGATCCAAGTTCAGGACTTGCATTATTTGCTTATTTTTGAGATTGGTTTTATTGCAACAATTTTATAACTAAGCTTATATAATATTTTAATGTAATGTATAATGTGGGTATAATATTGTTTTAGACTAACACCTTATTAAATAATATCCCAAATAATGAATAAATGTAAACTATAAACTGTAGTGTGTCTTATACACTAAAATCTTTATAGCTCAAAACATAAATATAAATTAAATAGTATAAAAGTATAAAACACATTTACCTCAGGTTCCTTACAGAGGTTATTTAATTTTTCTTCTAAAGACTCATGATTGGCCCATTATATATTTAGTGAACCATTTAATTAGTTACCATCGAGGTTGGGCAATATCAGAAATACAATCGCATCTTGCAAAGGTGGGCATTAACTAGTTTTTTACACAGTGTTAAACGTCTTTGGTAAATGTTTGTATAACAAAATGCACAAAAAAATGTTTTTTTTTAACTGAGTTAAGTTAATTTTATTTTCTATCTTAACTTTAAACTTATCCATTTAAACATTTTTTGTTTGTTAACTTTTAACTTAACTGAAGGCAATTTAATTGGATTAACTTAACTTGCCACAGTTAATTATTTTCATTAACTTGCCCACCTTTGGCATCTTATTTTGTGATACATGTTATAATAATATCACCAATCTTATTTTATAATAATATCACCAATCTTATTTTGTGATACATTTCATAATAATATCACCAATCTTATTTTGTGATACATTTCATAATAATATCACCAATCTTATTTTGCCAAAAGGAACAAGGTCCTTTTATTGCAAAAATGTGTATTGAATTGTATTCAAAATTACAAGTTATGGAAAATAAATCTCTTGATTAGCTGGACATCAAAAAATAAATGTAACATATTTGTCTTTCTTATGACTCCTAAGAAAAATATAAAATGTATACTTGTTCTGTGTCAGTACCTAATAACTATGATAACTAATACCATTAAATAATATTAGTTAATAATTAATAAGTTGGAATAAAAGTTAAATATATATACTTTTTTAACATTTAAATATCAATTCTAATTTTAATGACACAGTTAGAGATATACTTGCAAGTTGCGACACATGTGAATCTCGATCAGTGCTTGGGAAGTTCCTTTCAAAAAGGACCTAGTTCACATCCAAATGTGTTCATATTGTTAAAAAGGAACTAAATCCTTTCTTGTTCCTGGCTTAAAGAAAGAAATTAGTTCCTTTCTTCGTTTTTGAAATAAATAACATTTTTTATTCTTTAATAATTTTAAAATGTTAACAATACATTTTTTAATAAGGTAGTTGTATTGTTTTTATAATGTTCAAATTGTTTATTTCAAGTAAGCTAATTTACAGGAACATTTAAACACACAATTTAATAAATAAAAGTTGAAAAGACACTATTTTAGTTTTCATGATAAAACGGTTATTATTTAGTAGTATTTACTAATTAATTTTAAATTTTGACATAGCACATTGCAATTACTCTTCAATTTTAAATACTCGATATAGACAATAGTTTAGTAATAAATCGACATTATTAAATGAATATTATCATAATATATGTAATATGATAGGTATTGACTAAATTGCTAAAGAAAAAATGATAAAAACTTAATAATAAAAAATATTTAAATTCCCTATATTTAAGAATAAATAACCTAACTTGAAGAATAAAATCATTCATATTCCTCTAAAAAAATTAATGAAATTCAAATATGTTACCTCAGACAAAAAAGTAACTTACTATACGCACCCATCGCATCCGTTTAGCTTAAGTTCTTGAAAATTGAACGATGTTATTGGAAGCGCGAATTCCTTTGAATGCGATCGTAATATTCAGTGTCTTTAGTAGGTATATTAGTATAATACTATAATGTATAGTCTTATATAGAGTGTAAAGTTTACATTATAAACTTTATGAAGTAATAAATATAAGCCCATAAAGCGTGTGCACGGGGAGTCATGCCAGTCAATAGTCATGGTAGTATGGTACTATACTACTATGGTAGGCACTTGACTACTCTGCGAACTCTCCCCCCCACAATATTCTTAATTATATTATTATCATTATAGTTGATCTTTTTATTTATAAAATACTTTTTTACCAAGGCAAATGTAGTCAAATGAGGTTGCCCCATGCAAATTAGTTTTTATAACTTATGCGTTAATATAAATACAATATATATATATATTAGTAGGTAGTATTATATAGGTCGACCTACCTATGTGTGTGACGTGTGTGTTATGTATGACTGTATGACTACCCTACCATAAATGCTTAGTGAGCATAAATGAGTATAAGGTCAATGGTTGCTAATCCTTATAAAAAGCTTACAAATTTCAAGTCCCTATAAATTGTAATTATTATTTATTTTTATAAATATTTGAAATTTTCATGATTTTATCTGGTAATTTAGATCCCGAGACAACTAGGTCTCCTATGGACTATGGTCAACTAGTTCCTCGTGGTTATTTAGATCCCCTGTTAACTAGATCCCGTTCGTGTCATTTAGATCTTGAGGATCTAGTCAACCGGGGATCTAGGTGGCCGTTCACCAATTATTGCAGT